TTCGTCATTAAAACTTGACTGGGCACTGTACCTTCAAAGAACCATATTTTCTTCAGTATGCTCACCGCTGCACTCTATGAAGTTAGGAACGTAGTCTATTATCTCCGAGCCGTGAGTTACTAAACAACGACGAGGCACCAGGATTAGGCACGTGACGAATCGAAATGTCTTTGAGTTTGTATGGTAACACTTCTTGTGACGGATTCTGACAAATCATTTGACCAAAACATAGCGTGAAGCATTTCAAAGCAGATATCCAGACATACTGACCTCGGCCACGTTGATTACATCGGGTTCTGCTCGATTTTGGAGGCCAAGAGTTTGTGTCATAGTTCTTTTTACTTAGTCAATCATGACCGCATTTGAACGACCGTGATTGAAATTCGTCGGATGGACTCCATCTGATCAAGGGCAGGTCGAAACCGATGGCATGCTTCAAGACTGTTTTCCTAACACGTTATAAAGCACTTGAAATCAGGGTCCGTGCGCTTCTGAAATGGCTCCTTGTTCTGATTGGCATTGAAAATGGGATAGGTCTAAGTGGTTGGGTTTGCCAGTGTTTCGTTTGGCACTGAACTTAACTGGAGTGGTCAGTAAAAATTCAGTCTGAATACATGTGGGCGAAAAATACCAGAACCCTCACGATCACCCCGTTTTTCGGTTCGTTTGTGAACGAACTTTGGTTGTTTGACGACTGTTTTTAAAGAACCGGTGTGGTGTGTTTCGTAACACGTGATGCACAATGACCCCTTTTTCGTCCATACTGCAACTGTTGGTTAGCGCTGGTTAGACTCATTTTTCTCGGATTTTCTGGCTCCAGTTTAAATAGCCCGTCAAACAAAACGGAACATCCAAGGCTCCCAAAACCACTGTACTTTCTAGTCCACTCTGTATAACTCCGTTGAGATGCCTATTAGAGCGAATAGAGCTATCACATCGTATAAACTAAATACATTACTCATAGTGTTGCTGAAGAGTCCTCTACAGCCCACGACCGGTTCCGTCCCTCTTGGGACTCGTCAGGTAGGCGCAGTCCTCGATTTTCCGTTAACCCAATGTCCCACGTGAACCCAAATTCGACAGATTTCGACAAATACATTCATTTACATATAAACTGGGTTTTTACGGGAGACTGACTCTATTCAATCTCTCGTTTATGATATTTTTCAACTGAATGTGGTGCACAAACGCCTCATGTTTCAATTAGTTTGATTTTCTAGGTATCGCAGTACATTGTATTGACTTAATACACTACTTATAAGGTTGTTGAAAACTCTTCGACCAGTCGCATTTTTCCCGAAGCAACTTGGGGAAATTTGTCCCTGGAGACACTGATAGGTTTTCCCATAATCCTCAGTCCATTCTGCGCCCTTAAGGTTGTGGAACATTGTGTTTCAAGGCACAATTTGTTGTTTAAGTGGAGCTTTAGGTTAGGTTAGGTTTTGGGGGCTGCGCCCATCTTTGGGGCCCCAAGAAACGCGAAACCGAGCCTCGGTTGTTGGTGAGTTTTCAGCAACTTTATGAGTAATGTGTTCCGTCGAGAAAAGCACGTGAACCATCTTTACAAATATATTTGCGATTTTGTTGATAGTATGGGAATTTAGGAATATCAGTCGAGATTTCCTCCTGTGGGCGAAGTTAATTTATGGCGAAAAGTCTAGAGCCGCTACATGGCTGCTTCATTCTCACTGGGAATCATCGGAAGTGCACAACTCACAAATCCCCAGGTTGATTCGAACCCGCAACCTCCCAGGCTGATAGCTGAAGGCTTAACCGTTCGGTCACGACCCGATGGTCAGTAATACGCTTGACTCCCGCTTGGGAGGGACATGGCACCACGCATCCTTCAACCACAGCTCCTCGGGTGGACGGTTTCTTAGGTGGAAGTTCCAAACAACTCGTGAATTATTCCCCTTTTCCTAGTCATTTTTAATTTGTTGATAGTATGAGGCGATTTAAGAATTTCATTCGAGATTTCGTCCCGCAACTGAATTTAATCGATGTCGGCTTTTCCGCGCAAATTAGGTTCATTTAAAATGACGAAAAATCGACTGAACTTGGCATTTTCTCTGTCTGTTTGTTCCATCCCCAATCGTCTCCTTCACAGTTGACACCCCCCGCCTATCTCACATTATCTAATAGATTTTCACTATCTCCAATCTGTTCTTCCGTGGGCCGAACATCCATTGTGTTACAGCGCAGGGCGATGTGCCTGATATTAATCTGTGCAAAACTGATATCGAAGTGTCATATGGTTGGATTACATGGTTGTTGCGTAGGAAACGTTTGACCGAAATTTGGCCTAATTGCTTATGACGTGTGACCAACTGCTCTAGATAATCGGCCTAGTTTTAGGCGGACATGTAGAAAGCAGGTACATCCAATCGGGCTTTCGACAATCTAATTTCATAACACACAGGGACAAACATGTCCGCTGCGACGTGCTGCCCTCATCCTCCTTGACTCGTTTAGCACTGATCTTCAGTGATGTTCTACCCTGCGAAGGGCATTCGAACGATGTTCATTTTAACCAATGTAGCCAAGATTCGTGCATCAGAGTCACTGTATGATTCCGAACATAAGCTGATGGACATTAGTGTTTTGGCGATCTATTTTCCTAGTCAATACAGTTCGAAGGATTACAAAAATAAAAGCGGTCGATCGATACAAGTTGAACAAGAATAGAGTGGAGTCTGCGGATGAAAGGTTGGAAACTGTTTACGCCATGATTGGTTGACCTGAGTGAGCTGACAATGGAAGACTCATTGGGCGTACGCAGACTGGTCACGTGGCCGAACCGTGATTACCTCAGCTGTTGTCAGAGATTGATATTGAACGGATCTTTGTAGGTAAACAGGTGTTTGGTATAGTGTTCGGAAAGCGGTGTTAGAACTAGTCACGTGAATCGTATCAGCCAAGTGATGGTGTGCGCTAGCAATAGACCTCATCGATCTCTGCCAAAAATGCCTACAAGTTAAGAATGAACGTTCGTACACATATGCACTGATATCTGGCTGTGAATTTAATTTGGCCATTTGTGTACTACAGCCTTATCACCTCTGATAAAGTATGGATTCAACCGACAGTTCTCGAGCCACGCTGGCACTGTATTTCAGTCGGTCTTGTAACACGGAATTATTGCGCGTATTCTTGTCATATCGCCCAGCTACTCTTTCCGTTTGTATTCAGACTGCAGCAGCGCATTGAATTCGCACGCTGTGACACAAAGTCTGACCGCATGAGTCGTCTAATAACATTCGTTGCTCTACCAGATATTTTGTTAGAATGAACCAGAACGGCAAACAACTGAGGTGATGAGTCTTGCTTGGGCGAGGTGGCCCAAGTGGTTAGAGCGCGAATTTACTGACCGGAAGGTCCGTCGTTCGAACGCGACTTCTCCAGTCTAGGCTTGGGCAACCTGGCGGTGTCCGAGCCCTCGTTCAACCTTCGGGTGGCATGGCATTTCGGCGCCGGAAGGATGCTGCAGCTGAGCAATTTTTTCCATCTTCTAGATAGACATTGCTGATCTTGGAGGTTAAAAAATCATTCAGTAGTAGCACCCTTTCGGTGCCTAGGTGCCATATCACCAGAAGGAAGTACGAGGGTTAGGATACTGCCCGGTTGCCCAAGCATACACCGGGGAAGTTGAGAGGCATAAGTTGGGTTCGAACCACGAACCTCTAAGCACTGAACCATTTCGTATCTTGGAGGTTGCCTTGTCAATGTTACTGAGGCCATTAGCTTCCCATTCATCCTGGTAATTTCACCTGCACAAGACTTTTCATTCTTCCGTTTTCTACTCAAATAACCGTTCCCTCTCCCACACCGACTGAAATGGACACCTCGGTGCCAAACTGCAGTTGGCAACGTCTCTAATTTACTTAGCTGTATCGCAAGTGTCGGGCAAAATTTTTGTAAGAGTTGTCCCCCAAGGGCTATGAGCTTTAAACCGTAAATTGGCTACATATCCCTGCACAGCAATAGTGGACACCAACTGTAGTGTTCGGAGTAGGAAATATTAGCTGTGATCCAATGATTTTGCACTGAAGTATATCAACTGTCAATTAATCAGGCAGAGGTGTGGTGAATCCCCTCTAAAGTTCAGGTGCTTAAGTGTGACAGAGAGCAGGCTAGAACTGTAGAAGACTTCCTGCCTACTCTGTTAACCGTTATTTGGCTGTGATCTCGAGCGTAAGCCGCCAACGATAACTGAGGGCAGTTGAAATACCTACTCGCAGGCCAGTACTCGCTAGAACAGGACAGAAGATCTCAAAATCGTATGCACCCTCCACGGACCACTATCCGAAATGTTGGTTTAATGTGATTCCCTTTGAACAGAAACGAAAGCTCATCTTGGTACAAATCTCCGACGTCTGGAGATTGTCAGGAAGGTCGGATCCTTGAAAGTAATCCCAGAATGATCGAGACCCTCAAACTCCACCAAACTCGCATCAGGGAGGCCTTCGGGCATCCGCGCCAGAAAAGCCAGATTCCGATTAGGCGCCCAAACAATAATTCAATTTATCATTGATGAGTGTCACAGAAGCAACGGCCGATGATGATGAGTGTTCCGGCACACCACAGTACGCCTACCAATCACCCATCGCCGATCTGACAGCATAGAGTCAAGTTCAAATCTATGCCTTACATTTTCCGATGCCCCTTGTAATTGTTCCACTCGTTTGTTCGCAAAAAGAGTCTGTGTTTTTGCCAATGAGTCTTTTTCCGATACTAATGCACTGGAGTGGGGACATCAGTTAGATACCACGGCCGTTTAAATCATTACTGATTACACTCGAGATTTTTTAAATGCTGAATGACCACTCTGTGGTCGCCGATTTTATGAAGGGGACGATTCCCGAATCCTCTTCAAAGATGCACTAGTTTTTGGGTCACGTACAAATCAGTTTATTCAAATTGTCTGCTATCACCGATCACCACAAATTGATGCACTGTATCCATGAAACATTTCAGATCTAGTCTTTGGAGCACGGCTATTTATGTTCCGTTCATTCAACCTATCATGCCTCCACTCTTTGAAGCCTTGTTCGCGATACTTAAAAAAGCCCGACAAACTCTCCTTCGACGGCCAACTACGAATTCCGCCGCATACCTCAACTTGCGGTTCCAGATTCTTCAGATCTATCTCCGATGACTTCTGTGTTCCCAACAGTATCAGGGAACTCAAGGAAAGACTGTTTGCAGGCGACCGCCGAAGTTTGGCGCAATCAATTACTTTAATTGAATCTAAAAACCCTGATCGCCGAAGAGAAGGTCAGTATATTCTATCGGAAGCTATGAACTATCTTGCGGAAAGGGAGACACGAACTGGAACCTACACTTTTCGGATTGATTTCAGGTTTGTCAGGACCACCTGGTGCAGGAAAGAGCACATTCATAGAGGCGCTGGGTACTCGTCTTATCGGTCTGGTCCCATGGGTTTCTGATCTTCCTGAACAGGCGCAAAAGGGTCCATACGGAAAACGAGGCTCTAATGAGCCAGTACCCGTTCCAACCGAAAACCATCGCGTGGCTGTTCTAGCTGTTGACCCATCTTCTGTAACTACTGGAGGCAGTTTGCTGGCGGACAAAACGCGGATGTATGAATTATCGCGCCATGAGAATGCGTACGTGCGTCCATCCCCAAGTGGCGGAAATCTGGGAGGCGTGGCGCGGTCCACGAATGAAACTGTGCTCATTTGTGAGGCGGCGGGTTTCGATGTGGTTCTAGTCGAAACTGTTGGTGAGTCCAGTTTGATCGTCAACTTCTTGTGTTGTACTGTTCCTGAAGCCCGTTCTATAAATTCCATGTCCTGGTGGTCTTCGGGGAATCAACGCCTTCCTTAGTGCTTTGTTAATCGATCGGATTTAACGTTGGTAAGATGCCAACGCCAGCGAATTCATTAAGTCGGTCGTGCTGATAGATTTGTGGTTTTCAGAGTTTCGGCAAAACTCATTTGGGATATTTCTTTACTACACTTTACTTCACTTTTTTGACACTCATTGACTTCTGGTCATGGCTTCAAGCGTCTATCCAAGTGACTTATTTCGGGTATCATGGATAAAACAGGCTAGTGAGTTTGACTGATTCTGTCCAATCGCATGCCGATTTCATCTTTCCGTCCTTTCAGTAGATCCTAGATGATCCTATGGTCTTGTTGGAAGTCTCATATTTCGATAAAGTCGGTTTTAATCGGTTGGGATTGATGTGGTCCACGGAGTCGACCGTGGTGCTGCCTCCCGTAATGATAGTGGTTATACTATCACCCATGTAGGGCGATATTATTGCGGAAAGTTCACATGGGTTCAGGTCACTGGCTATCAACTCTCTATTAATTCAGTGTAAATCACGAGTTCTGTCGAATTTACGCCCCCCTAATTCGATCATATTCATTACCCACGTAGCGCTTCAAATTCAGATCTCAACGTGTACTTTTCCAACGCGTCTTGCCTCCAAACGGTTGTTTTCTTCACTAGTGACTCGAAAATCACCTCTGTTCACAAGAGACCACTGCTCGTAAAGTTTGGCCAATACCTGTCAGTGCGACCTCTCAAAATTTATGGCTACATGAACTATCAGATTTGTTCACACCGTTCCTCCAGAGCAACACACACGAGGAGGTAGTTGCGTCCTCGTCTAAACCCTTTCCTATTCTTTGAATAGCCACGGATTGCCCGTATTTCTGTTTTCATGTCCACGTTGCTAGATCTGTCGTCCTTTGGCCCAAGTTTTTCTTTTCACCTATTAACAGGCTCACCAACTTAGGTTCGAATCTCAATTTAACCAAACCAAGCAGCTTGTACCGGTGCCCAGGGATGAGTGACGTTCATACAAATCAGAATCGGTCTATAGCTGCTGTTAATACAGAGAGAGTCCCAGGTTTTGTAACTACTCATTAAAACCAAAACATAGCCAAAACCTTGTAAAGCCTCCATAACAGACAGGATATTACCCTTAGTCGACTGGACAATGGATCATGCTCCCCGATATAGTATCTCACGTACTGTCCGACTGAACTAAATTTACATCAATGAGCAAAGGAAGATTGACTCGTAGTCGAATGCTTGTCTTAAGCCCACAAAGAACGACGGTTATGTCAACAAAGCACAGTACGGGTCAACAGGTACGCTCACTCGCGTGCACGGTCTTCTTGAGATTCGTGAACCTGGTAACCCTCTATGCTTGTGTTATTTAACATCAGCGGTCTTCCTTACTCAACTGAATAACTACATTTCGAGTGTCTCTGAGGTCCTTCAGCTGAAAACTGCTCCGCGATGATAACGAGAAATTATATGAGTACAGGGCGGTTACAGTACAACCGTTCTCTTGTTTGATTCGATAAATGGAATGTGCTTCCAACTGGTTCCTTTTTCTGGTCAATACTCCCAGCTCGACCAGTTTCCGCTGTATTGAGCTGGCAGTGCGTAGTCGATGAGTTCAGTTAAACATTTTGCAAATCGATCGGTTTCATTGTTCCGTTTCTGGTTATCACAGGTGTCGGTCAGTCCGAAATTGCTGTCGCTGATATGGTCGACCTATTTATACTCCTTATTCCACCTGCTGGGGGCGATGAACTGCAAGGAATTAAGCGAGGTATTGTGGAATATGCTGATATCGTGGTCGTGAACAAAGCGGATGGAGACCTCATAGCCCCAGCTCGTCGAATCGCAGCAGAGTATTCCAATGCACTGAAGTACCAGCGAATGAGGAGACCGAACTGGCGTCCACAGGTAGGTTCATTGTAGTCGGTAGGCAGATGCTTATGTGACGCATGGAGTAGATCACTTAGCGTGAACAAAGCGGATGGAGACCTCATAGCCCCAGCTCGTCGAATCGCAGCAGAGTATTCCAATGCACTGAAGTACCAGCGAATGAGGAGACCCAACTGGCGTCCACAGGTAGGTTCATTGTAGTCGGTAGGCAGATGCTTATGTGGTGCATGGAGTTTCACAGTATGACCACTTAGTCTGTAAAACGGCCTTCCTCATTTCAATAAAACTTATCAGCGTAGGACAGAACAATCATTTTAGGAATAGTAAATCAAGTGATACTCCGGGACTCCCTGTTTTTGACACACAGCTTGGTGGCTAAATATTGACTGTATTTTCCAGCCCTGACTATATGGAGTGAACCAGCATCAGACTTCTGTTTTTATGCGTTTGTTCGCATATCCACGTGCTGCTCGTGGTTGGAACGAAGTGTGATGTTCTAAAATCCAGCTTAGCATGAAGGTGTCGTCCACGCCACTGCGTAGTCCAGACGGAACCCATCCTGATTTGGTATGGTTTTGGGCTTCTTCTCTCTCTCTCTCGATCGTTTGAGTTTGTGTGGGAGTGAATTAGTGCTGCGGGTTCCCGTACATATGTATTGTTTTTCTTGGGGATTGCGTCAGAGTGACCTTTGATGGTTGTCCGAGGAAGCTTCAGACAGACAAGTTGTGTAGGAAGGAAAGTCAATAATGGGTCAAATGGTTTGGGTACAGTACCGTTTGACCTTGAATCCGAAGTAAGACAGATTTGCTGACTGTCCCTTTATCGAATCATCCTTATCATCATCATCATCATTATCGACAGCATGNCAATGCTTCACTGCCATACAACCATGGTTTATTTGAAAGCCTTATTCTAAAGAAAAGAATAAAGGTGGATGGGAGAGGGACTTAGTGCTACCTTAACACAATCATTCCGAGGTGCATACACCTCCAGACATTCACTCAGGTAATCTGAATAGAAACTGACAACAAGAACGCAACTGACATCGGTTCGCAGCCATATCTTGTAGTGTCTCCAACCAGGCACAATGAGGATCACGCGGTCCCCATCTTAGAAGGCATGAGGATGGATGGCACCGACAGCACCCAAGCGTTTCGTAATCTCCTTCATACTCTTCTGCCAAGTCAAGGGTTGACCACCTCTCTGCTTAAGCCACTCTGAATTGGGCATTGAAAACAGCACTCTCTTCGGCAAACGATGGTTCGGCATACGCAACACATGTCCCAACCAACGCAGCTTCTGATGCTGGACACGTTCTTCAATGGAAGTACCCGTCGCACAACCGGAAACGCGCTTTCTAACTGCCTCGTTACGTATTCGCCGACACCAACCCACACGGGCTATAGTTCTAAGACAGCGATTGTCGACGTATTTGTTCCGCTGGTCGAACAGGCCAAGTCTCACAGCCATACAACAAAACAGCCCGTACTGTAGCTTGTTACACACATCTATTGAGATCCAGAGATACACCAGTCTGACGCCATATGTGTCTCAAATTAGCAAACGCGACCCGGGCATCACAGATTTGTTCATTGACCTCATCTGTCACACCACAAGAAGAACTAATCCAACTTCCAAGATACGTAAAACGCTCCACAACTTGCGTAGTTTTTACCTGGGTTGCAAGTGGTGTCTTAAGTGATTGCACGTCATCGAGCGTGACCTTACACTTTGTGGATGCAAAGTGCACACCAGAGGACGGGATGACTGTTCAGTTCATCCAAAAACCTGCGCCTTCTCTTCGAAGATGAGAACGATGTCGTCTGCGTACTCCAGATTGACAGGGTTTGCATCACAGGTTATTTGAACACCAGGGTTTTGGAGACTCTCCAGCGTTCATCTCATTATTTCATCAATCACGAAGTTAAAAAGGAATGCAGAGAGTGGGCATCCCTGACGGACACCGATTCGTGTGCGGAAGCTTTTGGAGAGCTCTCCGTGCACTCTCACACGTCCGGAATTCTGAGACTAGAAAGAACGTATTATGTTTACAAACTGCTTTTATTTAACCCAGTCGTGAATAGTGATGGGGTTGTTCCGAGCAACAATCCAACAGTAGTGCAAGCCGTCTTTCGCCGTATCAATCTAGCTACATCACAGTCCTATTGGAAAGAATATTCCAGTAAAAACACAGTTCTTTAGCACTTACACACACCAGCCAAATTTCAGAGGAGAGGAATTCAGCCGAATAAATTCCTTTCATAGGGTTGGGACCCGTGATCTTATCAGATTGTCCGGCTAACATATCAAAGGCTCCATAAAAATGTATCTTTTGAACTTAGAAATCCGACGAAATAGCGTACGTACAATCAGTCAGTTCTAATGGTGATTAAAGGCTGGTTTCTGTCTCTACAAGCCCAAAGCAATCACCAGTATGTTTAACGCAAAGGGCGGATCAAGTGAACAGAAGGAGCGTCCAACGCGATGCCTTCCATTTGCACAGTATTCTCCATTCTTCCGAATCCGTTGAACGTCTGTAGTGGTTTGTGCATGCTCAATTATTCAGTGTGAGCGAATCAGCATATCGCCTGAATGTCAGTGCAGAATACTAACCACCAAGGCAAATTACACGTTTGGAACTACGCACCTTCCCTGAAACCTGCTTTGACCGACACTACACTGATATTTTGTGTAGGGGGTCGGTCACCCATGTCCATTAGTGCTTCATTAGTGTTTCATTTGTGCTTGAAGTCTATCGAAATCATGTGTTTGAAACTTTCCCGAAAAAGTTTGGTGACAATCGGTAGATTTATTTCTGGGCAACGTTTCGCTTTTGACACAAAAGCTTCGTCAGACCAAGTGACCAGGTTCCAAGGTTGGTGGAGATTCAAGGCGGAAACAGGACCAATCAGCTAATTCGAGCTAAATTTCTGTTGGGTGTCGGCCGAGGGATTTTAGTGTATTAGAGTGGTTGAACAAGTGTTGGGTCGGTGGGGAAACCTACATGTGTTTGGGTCCAGCCTAGGGTCTAGT